ACCTTTAAAATTAAACTGGAAGACGTTCGCTGTGCCTCTTTGATGTCTATGCCACAGGGTCAGCATCACTGTGCAGAGCAGTGCTTAGGCTTTGTGACAGGCTACATAGGTTTGCACTTGCTCAATATGTATGTCCTTGCATGAAGAAAATTTCAGCAAAGTACAGCATCATCCTTATTGTTACTGAAACTGGCGGTGCTACTGCCGTTGGCAGTCACAGTTTAAGCAGGGTTTGAGATAGTCCTAGGTTCCTACCAGTAGTAGCTGTGTGTATGTACTGCACTATTGTTGACAATTTCTCTGTACAGTAGGCATGATAGTTCTCATTAACTCAGGAAGTTATTGGAAGTAGGAGGCTTTAAGAAGAATACTTACTTCAGCATGAGTCAAAGAGTAATATCTGACTTAATTTTGGCATTACTATGTGCCAAGCAGCTATGCTGTTGGTTTCAAACTGCCTGATTCTCATAATCACTAGAAAATGTAGGTACTGGGCCGGGGAGATGGCTCAGTGGAATAAGTGCTTCCTTGGAAAGTGCAAGGACCTGAGTTCAATCCCTGGTTCCACACACACACACACACAAAAAAAAAAAAAAAAGAAAAAAAAAAAAGAAAAGAAAATGTAGGTACAATGGTATGGTAGAGAGAGTGCTCTTTGGGGGTGGTGTTATATAATCAAAAATAGGTGGAGTTATATCATCAAGTTATTACTTTTCAATCTTAGATCCAGTTACTGAGGAAGTAAATTTGTCCCTGTAAAACATAAATAAAATAAAATAAAATGAAAATGATTCTCACCCTGACTAACTGCATATGCTGGTACCTGCGAACTAAACAACTGCACCGAGGATAGCAATGTGTAGTACAAGGGCCAAGATTGGAATGCCTGTCATTCTGGTCTTCTAAATGCGTACTGCTTCTAATGTCATATCAATTACTGTTACACTCTCTCTCTCAATTAAATGTTTGTTTTTTAAAAAGGTAATAAAAGAAAACAAGAGACAAGAAAAAAAAATTTGTCCCTGTAAATGGACTCCTAAGAGCTACTGAAACTCTGAAATTTCTTAGCATAATGGAATATTCTTTTTCCTAGAGGGGCAGTGCGTGTGTGTGTGTGTGTGTGTGTGTGTGTGTGTGTGTGCATGTATGTGTGTGTGTACAGGGATACCATTAAACTGTCCCCTTCTATCTGTCTGTTTTGGGATTGAATCCAGGGCTTCATACACTATAGAAAAACATTGCACTACTGAGCTGTTTTTCTAGCCCCATACGTAAAATTATGTTTCTGTATATTTGCATCTGTGTGTGTGTGTGTGTGTGTGTGTGTAGTTGTTGATTCCTAGCTTTGATTAGTTTACCATTTCTTTTTTCTTTAGTTTTATTTTATGTTTGAAACATAGCAATTGTACATATTTTTCAGGGTATTAACTTTGAACCCTTGTTGTGGGCGATAGCTTATATAGCACTAACAGGACTCTCACTTTTAAGCATCTAAAAATTCTAACTATTGAATTCTGTTTGTCTTTGGGGTCTCAGATTAAATATTTTCTCCTCCTACAAGACTTCCTTGACTCTCCTAGACCTGAGCAGCCTCTCCTATGCCTCTGATAGTGCCCATCCTTCTGCAGTGTCATTGTGGTGGGGATTGTTGCTGTTTACTTCTGTTTCTTTTGGGCAGGTGAGAGGTGGTAACTTTCATGCCTCCTTGAATACAGGTGTAACCAGATGGTTTGATTTGGCAGATGGTCTGTGAGTATAATTGATGTAGATCTGCTTTGGCAATTCTGACAATGAGTTTTGACACAGAGGTATGAGAGTAGAGGGCTGATGCCACAGATAGCAACACACACAGCAGACTTTGTGTTAGATACATGCCTTTGTGGCTCTCTCCTAGCCACTGAGATTTCTGGTGTTGTTGGTTATTGCAACATATCTTGACTCATACAGCCCTCGCCTGCCTATTGTCTTACTTCCTTACCTGTCTATAGGTCTGACTGAAGGAAGAAATTGTCTTGTTTATCATTCTATCCCCTGAGCCTTGTTACAGGACAGCCTGACATATGGGCAGCAACTAATAAATCATTCATGGAATGAAATAATGGTTCTGTATCAAGGAAGGATCTAGCTGAAGATTTAATTTCTATAATAGTCAAAACCTTGATGTGGTTTTGAGGTGAGGAAAGTGATAAATCTTTTCAGAGAGGATAAACAAAAACTATGATTCTCTACCTAAAACTTGAGAGAAAAATTTCTTTAGAAAAAAGGGCATTATGTAAAGAGCATTATGCATAAATAAGAAATAAAATGCATATTTTTAATTTAATGATGAATAAGAAATAGTGACATATTACAGGAATTAAAGAAAAAGGCTTATGATATGAAGTCACATTGTGACAATTATTATGGGGTACTTGTGCAATTACTGTATGTTGTATGCTCAGTGACTCCTGTGTATGTGGTGGGTGGGAAGAATGAGATCTGACACCTCTCCCTCAAGAGCTTACAGTCAAGTAGAGGTGAACAGGGGCCAAGATAATTAGAATATAGTGAAATAAGGGCAATAGTACAAGTACTCATGGGAAAAGCCCAGAGGGAGTCTATATTTATTCTAAGTTGGAGGGATGATGAATTAACAAGAGTGATGTTGTAAATGTGCCCCTCCCTTGCTATAAACTCTTCTTTTTTTAAAAACTCCTCTTTTACTTCCAACAACCATCACTTGTATTTAGCTTCCTACCAGATCATACTAACTTCAATACAATAAAGACCATGATCCTACTCTCTGACCAAACGCACTATGTCCACTTTGTTTATTTAGTTATTGCATCTGTAGCTATTTCTTCAAACTTACTGAGATCTTCCTTTTCAAATCCCCCCTTTTAAACTTTTCCTATCTCAGCATAGAGTACCACTATGCTGTTATCCTTAATTCCTTCACTCTTTTATTGTCCTTCTGTGATTTCATATGGAAAATCACACCTTCAATACTACTGTTTGTAGCCTCCATGTGTATTTTTAACTACTACAGAAAGCAACAGGAAAATTGGGGCCATTTAAAAGTCATCATTCTCAACTTAACTGGGGCTCCAACATTTCCCAGTAATTCTTTCATACTTTTCTCCTCACTTCTGTTTCCAGTCCTCTATGATGGGAATTTCAAAACTCCTTTTTCCCAATATTCTCAAACTCTACCACCTTTTACCACATATTTTATTTATTTTTATTGAGAAATAAATATGAATGAGACAGTTTCACAGCAATTAATAGGACAGTTTTGATAATCACTACATTGTACATTGTTATCTTTTTTTTTGTGTGTGTGATGGTGAAAACATTTTTTTCACATAATTTTATTTATAAACAAATAGCGATGAGACAGTTTCAAACCAAATTGGTAGGACAGTTTCCATAAGTATATTGTTATCTTTTTAATGGTTATCCATAGTAGAAGAAGCAGATAGGATATTCTGTCCAAACACTGTTAGTACACCTCTTTCTTCTTATTGAATTAAGTGAAAGTAGCTGTAAATTTATCCTAACTATTTTGTGTATATAAATACAAAATGATCTTTCCTTTGTATCCTTTTTTTTTTTTGTCCTGCCAGAGGTGAATATTCTATTGGCATCTAAATACTACAGGTGTTTGAATTCCTTTTACCACATATTAAGCAGATGTCTTTGCCTGTTACTTTTTAGAGGAAATACAAACCACCAGATTGGCACTCCTTTAATTTCCTACAATCAAACCTAAGAAATTACTGGTGGCTGCTATCATCCATTTCTTTTACTTTGTTAAAATGAAAGAGTTGGGCTTTATCTTAGGCTAACTACTTGGGCATGGATTAAAATACTAGGTTAAAGGAAGAAGAAAAAATTTGTTTGCACAAAAAAAGGTGGTGGTGGGGCTGAGGAAGAAATCTGAAGAATAGTAGTATCAAGGAGAGTAAGAGCCAGAGAAAGAAGAGACCACCAACATGACTGACAAGGAGCAGACAGTGGAGATGAGACACAAGGGAAGTGACCGCTGGGAGCCCGAGGAAGAGCGCATTTCAAGTAAGAGCAAACATGGACATATCCTACCTCAACTCTTGGAGAAGTAAGAAAAAAACAAGACCTTTCTTTTATTTTTAGCAACAAACAGGCTCTGAAGGACCCTGGGAAATGTGCTCCAGGGAAGAGACAGTAGAGGGTTGAGAAGTGTAAGGCAAATGAAGAAATGGAGATTTCAGGCATAGACCTCTATTTTACAACATTTAGCTCTAAAGGGGAGGAGATAAACAGGACTATAACTGTAGAGTTATGGAGTAGACCAAATCTACTTGTTTTGATGATAAATATGTATATTTATATGTCCGCAGAAAAGAATAAGTAGAAAAATAGCGGCTGAAGAAATAAGGAAGAGAGGGCAGGTTATGAGTATTTGATGGAATAAGATTTGTGTGAAAGCAGGAAGGAACAGAATTCAAAGTCTTTTATAGCCTCCTCTTTTTCTACTGGTTTTGGACTCTTTTCACGCTGTGTAACCCTCTAGTGCTTTGAAGCATTATCTACATAACGACTCCCAAATCTATAGCTTTTCGCAAATTCAATCTCTTGAGCTCTGGGTCCTGCTATTCAGCTGCCTATTGGACAGCTCTCTGGGCTATTGCTGAGCACGTAGGCTCATCACATTCAAAACAGAATTTATTATTGTGTCTTCCAAACATGTTATTTTCAACATCTCTTATACCAGGAAAAGAACTACTGTTCAAGCCAAATCCTAGAGATATCTTTGACTCTTCTCTACATCTTCGTCTGTCATCTATTCCCACTTACATTCCTTGGTCATTTCCAGAGCTTGAGGAAGCCCTCTGTGTAGCCTACTTCCCTCAAGTCAGGACCAGGTGCTTGCTCCTTGTGTCACTGTTGTAAATTGGGAAGCCTTTATTTCATTATGTGCTACTTTGTGGCACACAATTTTCTTTTGTAATTGTCTTTCGTACAATTGTCTTTTGTTTTTAAAAAGTATGAAATATTTCATGAATTTGTCATCCTCATGCAGGGCCATACTAATATTCTCTGTGTTATTCAAATTGTAGTAGACGTGCTACTGAAAAGAGCGCTGTGGATGCCTTGTTATTAGGCTCTAAGCCATACGTTGACAAGCAGGGAACATGTCTACTTCACACACAGCCAATGCCTTGAATACAGCAGGCGTTGAATATTATTGGAATGAATCATTATGATTGCAATATTTGCGTATCACTTAAATATTTTCTTTCTCTTTCTCTCTTTCTTTCTTTTGGCGGAACTGGGGATTGAGGCCAGGCCCTTGTGCTTGCCAGGGAAGCACTCATTCCACTGAGCCATCTCCCCGGCCCCTGTGTATCACTTAAAAACATTTATATACATTTACTATATTATTTAAACTTCATATATAACCATGAGAAATAGGTAATATTTTCTCTATTTTCTGGTGGAGAAAAATAGGACTTAATAAGTTTAAGGGATATTATGAAGATCATCTATTTTTTTTTTTTTTTTTTGTGGAACTGGGGATTGAACTCAGGTGCTTGTGCTTGCCAAGGAAGCACTTATTCCACTGAGCTATCTCCCCAGCCCCTTAAATCATCTCTTTCTTTCTTTCTTTCTTTCTTTCTTTCTTTCTTTCTTTCTTTCTTTCTTTCTTTCTTTTTTTGGTTTAAAATAACTTTTTATTGCTGAGGATATCTTTTCTCGTCTTCTGCATTTTTTTTTTTCTTGTTAATAACTCTAAATTCCAGCTCAGAGAAGCTTGTCTTTGTGTTGGAAAACAAAGCTATGCTAACCTGATCTTGTCTTGAGAGAGAAGGTAGCTTCACGGCTGGAGTAAATTTCTGCCATGATGACACAGGTCTAATTCTCATGGTGCTAAAAGGAAATGGCAGCATTGCTGACAAAATTATAACCTGCTGGTGGCAGTCAAGGAAAAGAAGCCCTTGCAAATTTCTAAACAACAGTAAACTGTTAGGAAAGTCTAAAATGTCTCGCAGGCCAAAAAGGGAATAAGGTTAGTAGAATGCCTCGTCAGAGTTTGAATAAAATACTGATCGAAGAGTTACCAGGATTGGTTTTGTAAAAACAGGGTGGTAGGTTGGGTCATGCTTCCGATGGTTTCAAGTTCAGATAGACTGTGAGACAATACACCGCTTCACAGGCCGCGCTTGTCTCCAGCAGTGCTCCCTTCCTCAGTAGGTGCTGGCAGAAGGTGTGCTCGGTCGTTTTTCGATGTAGATGCCTAGTCCCAAGGCCAAAGTGTGAGAGAGGAAGAGAGACGGGATGAACGCCTTCAGAAACTCTGCGGAGAAAATGCCGCGGTTCTTCATGGCTCCACTTTTCCTCATGCTCAGAGACACGGAGCGCTTTGGGCGTCTGAAGTGGAACTCCTTGGGTGGAATGTTTTCGGGTCTGCTAGACCAGTCCGATACCCAATCTGCACTTTTCTTTGAAGCCTCTTCCTTCTCTCCTTCTACAGTTTCTTCTTCTGACTGACAGCTGTGGTCCCTGCTGGTGTGCATCTCCACGTCGAACATAATCTGCCCGTCCCCTTGCGGCGAGAGGCTGTCACAGTGAGAGGTGCCTCTGGAACTGCTCTGTCCTGATTCATGCTGTGTGTCCAGAAGGACCTTCTCCATGTCTCCACTGTGGATGCAGGATGAGGAAGGGATGTGCTCCAGACCCCCATTCTTCCCTTTGCCATTCTCGTTGCCATTGCTGCTGTTCATGGGTAGCTCCACCCAGGAACTGTTAAGGCCGATTGGCGGCTGCAAAGGCTGATCCCCCTTCCTCGCAGTTCTTATTGTCGTGCAGGGGAGGCAGTGGCTGGACTAGTGAGACGACATGGTCTGGTGGCTGGAAGAGCTTTGGCTGCAGCAAGACCGTCTCCGGTTCTCAGGCAGCAACACAACAAGCCCGATCATCTATTTCTAAGTGGCAGCTTTTCTTTCTTTCTTTCTTTTTCTTTTTCTTCATTGCTTTTGAGTTCACAGAACATTGTCCCTAAAAAGGAAGAGATTTGACTTGGATTAACACAGCTTGAGGCTTAAGTTCTCCATGTGGAATATTCTTCGATGTTAATTCTTTTGGTAAATATGTAATTTCAAGTTCTGTGCAAGATTCACGGATAACGCTGAAAAAGGAATGGTAGACTCAAGTGGCATATATTGTTGGAATCCTGGTCGCTACCTCTTATGGGCATGAACAACTTTCCTAACTTCTCTATGGCTTAATTTTCTCAAACATGAAGTGGGATGGCAGTACTTGTCTCAGAAGCGCTATTGAATGAAGCCTTCAGCAGAGAGCTGGACCCAGTTTTGATGATTACCAGCTCTTGCTATTGCCATCACTCTTGTGATGATGTGTATCAGCGATTACACTGCTATGCAAACAATGTGATGTTCCTGGGGTTTGTGTTTCCTGAGGCAGGTGAAGAAAGTCCCTTTCCCCTAGGCAGTTCTTGTTGAGGCAGTTCTTGTTGAGGCAGTTCTTGTTCTCGGTTATCTTGTACAGACTGATGTTGAATTCCAGAACCCTGAGTCTGTGATGGCACCAAGAGGAAGAGTCCAGCCTGACAGGTATCAGATAGTACTGGGGCAGCTCTGAGGGCTTGTGAACAAATCAGCATACAGAAGCCAGAAATGCAACTTTGGAGGAGGGGTTGAAGGAAGTAGCTTTTGCTTAGACAGAAGGACGAAGGTAGGATTTTTCTAGTTCAACCAGAAAAGGTTCTTAGATAGTAGTTATTGATTGCTTAATATGGCTCAGGTATTTCTGTATATTAATCTTTTTTTTTCTTTCTTTGATTTTTTTTTTTTTTTGTATTTTTAGGGAAGGGTGTACAGGGTGTTCAGGGTCTCACTACTAGATCAGACTCGTAGTGATCTGCCTGTTAACAGCCTCCCAAGAGCTGGGATTATAGGCACACGCCACCACGCCCATTCTAATCTTTTTTTAAAATCTGTATGTCTTGTTTAATTATCCTAACAACCCAGTTAATTCTGAGAATATCCTTATTTTGCAGTTGAGGAAAATGAAACTTAGGAAATGAAATTACTTGTCCAAGATCTTATAGATGGAATGAAAAGGAGAGCATATCAGAGGCAAAAGGTCAGAGTTGGAGGCAGAGGTAATAAGAACAGGTGAGCACTGCTGTGATGGTTACACTTAATTGTAAACTCAGGAGCTGCTTAGGGCACTGGCAAAGCACGCTCCTCAGTGTGTCTGGATGGGACATGGAGGCATGATTTTGGCTACTACATCTGGTCTCCAACCCCTTCTCTCTGGTTCTAGTTCATTGCTTTGCTTCCCAGCTACTGTGAACTAAGCAGCGTTACTCCATCAGGCCCTTCTGCCATGATATTTCTACCTTGGAGCCAGCCAACCATGGACTAAATTCCTCAAACAATGAGCCCAAAATAAACCTTTGCTTCTTTAAGTTGAAGGTGTCAGGTAGTTTGTACAATAACGGCAAAGTTGACCAGTACAGTAGAGCTCTCGTGAATGCCCCTGACCAAGACTCTTTGGTTTCTTTGGGATGTATGATGAGCTATCTTTGCCTGCTCCCACTCACGTGGCCCCTTAAAGAGCTTACACACCTGGATGCACATCACATTCCCTCAGGAGCTTGTTAAGTATACAGATTCCTGGGCCATCTACCCAGAGATGCTCATTTCATAGGTCTCAGATAGATCTAGCAAATTTCTTAACTTCCTAGTGATCAACCTAGAAAATTCTGAAGCGCTTGGTTCTTGGCAGATACTTAGAAGCCACCTCTTTAATGTTACCTCTACTGCAGCTAGAGACAGCATGAGGTCTTCTTAATTATTATTATTTTTTTTAAATATAGAGTCTCACTGTGCAGTTTGGATTTGTAGTGGTCCTCTTGTCTCAGCCTATCCAGTGCTGGATTTCAAGCGTGTGCCACCATCCCAGTTTCTGGGGCTGGAATGGCATGTAGTACTGGGGATCAAACCCAGGTCCTTGTGATTGCCAAGCAAGAGACTGCCAAGCTATCTCCCCAGCCAGGCATGTGGTCTTTATATAGGCATTTCTTCTGCAAGTTAGCCAGGGGAGCTCTAGCTAAAGACTGATTATTCAGTTCTGATGGAAAGGAAGTGACTATATGAAGAAATTCCCTCAGCTTTCCAAATTCCAGGGTTCATAAAGAAACCTGGGTTAATAAACTATACAAATAGAATTCAATGTGGCTGTAACTTGGGCTGTGAAATGTATTTCTGTTGGGCCAGAATACTGCTGGACTAGCTTAGTTTAACATTTTGAATATTGGGTTTGAGTTTCTTAGCAATCATTTGTGTTCTACAAGAGCAAAGAAGTAATAAGCATTTTGTCTGCGGCAGGCTATAATCACCCTGAGGGAGTAGTTTACATCATTAGAATGTAATGAAATAAGTTGTCACCAGCAGCTGCCAACGTTATTTCTGGTGACTTAGAAAAGGTATGTTTAGCAGACACTTTTGAGTCATACTTACTTTTAAACATGGGTGGAAGTTGGGTGTGCTGCCAGAGTGTTTTTCCTTCTGATTTCATGTACTTTTAATACTGGTTTGTCTAGATAACTATGGATGAATCTAGTAAAGTGCCTGATGAAATGCTCAATGTCAAAGCAATAATTGAACGCTTTGCTAGGAGGCTTTCAAGGACCCTCTCTCCTTTAGCATTTATCATGCTAAATGTTATTCACCACCAAACTTTCTTTTCATATTGTCAGCCATAGCACTAAAACTCTTAGTGAGGGGAGCCTGTGCCTCTCAAAATCTGCGAGTTTTCTCCAGCTACAAAGTCATGGTTCTGGCTCCAAACTATTATAATTCTTCACCCGAACTTTAGCAACACCCTTCTAAGTGGTTGCCTTTTCTCATGTCATGCTTTTCTGCCCATAGTGCTTCACTTATTAGCCAGACTAACTGCTCTAAGACATTTTCCATGATTATGTTTAGCTACTTTTCTCCAGCATCTAGAACAATCTTCAGCATACAGTAGGTGCTCAGTCATCATCTGTTTTAAAAATAATGAGTAACTTTTACTCACCTGCTTAAACTTTCAGTTTCCCACTGCTAGCATTGTGCACAGTAAACTTTCTAACAGCAATTATAAGGCCCTGGATACGCCTGTCTTTTTCTCCCACGTTGGATCTCCTGCAGCTACCATGTTGATTAAATGCTCAATTTCTCCTTCTCTACCTCCTTCGTTCCCTCCCTCTCTCCCTCCCTCCTTCCTTTCTTCTCTTCCTTCCTCCTTTCCTTTTTTCTCTATTTTTCTTTTCTTTCCCAATATTCCAGGGTTCATTTTAATTTTCTTTTTTTTAAATTATTCATTTGGTACAGGGTCTCACTACACAGCTTGGATTTGTAGTGATCCTCCTGTCTTAGCTTAAGAGGTGCTGGACTTACAATCATGTGCTACCCTGCTTGGTTTCAGTGGCCCATATGGCACACCTGGGATTCTAAGGCCTGTACAGCACGCAGTACAGGGATTGAACTTGGTCCTTGCCATTGCCAGGCAGGTACTTATGTTCTGGAGCTATCTCCCTAGCCATCCAGGGTTCATTTTCTCAATTATTCCAGGCAACTGTCCTCTTATTTTCTTTGTGACAGTTTTGTGCTACTAACCTGGGATTGCTATAGTAGGTCACATTCTAAAACACAATGGGTTTGTGTAAGGGAGAGAGTAATTTTTGCTCTGGAAGACTCAAAGACTCCCCTTCTTCTTATTCCTTGTGGGGGCCTTGCTTTCTTGTTGAGAGACAAGACCGAACACCCACAATTTAAAGGCAGAATGGTATATTTCTTTTTTCTTTTTTTTTGAAACAGAGTCTCTCTTTGTAGTACAGACTAACTTAGAACTCACTGTGTAGCCTCGGCTGGCCTGGAACTCACAGCGATCCTATTGCCTCAGCATACAAAGAGCGGGTGTGCACCACCACATTCCACTGTTTTGGCTCACAGTTTGTAGAGGTTTTGGTCCACAATAAATTGGCTCCAAGGCAGGTTATCACGGCAGAGGGGCATCGCAGAAACAGCTAATGGTGTGACAGGCAGGAAGCAGAGACAGAGATCAAGGAGGACAGAGAGAGAGAGAGAGAGAGAGAGAGAGAGAGAGAGAGAGAGAGAGAGAGAGAGAGAGATCACACCCTTCTAGGCCCCAGCCCCAGTGACCCACTTCCTCCAACCAGGCTTTGCCTGTCAATATCACTTTTAGCTATAAACTCCCAGTGAACTAATCCACTGGTGAGTGCCAGAGCCCCATGATCCAATCAGCCCCCTAAAGCTCCACCTATGAGTACATGAGGCTCTGGGGAAACTTCTAGATATAAATCATAGCACCATGACTCTAAGATTTTTGTTCTATGACTGCTTGTGGTTTCACACAACCTTGATTTACCAGCTTGCCTTTTGACCTTGGCAGTGCAAGGTGCATTACAGCCACCTGTAACCAAACAATGCTTCCAGAACGTGCAGAATCATTGCCAGGCAAGGTCTTATGAGCACTTTCCTGGGACCAGGATTTGGCAGGGAGCAGGCTAGGGAGAAAGATGGCTGTTGCATCCAAGCAGCTGGGATGACCTTTAGGTAGGCGGTAGGAGGCTGAAGGTCACTGGGGCATAAGTGCAAAGGCTTCTACACAGCTAGCTAAGCACACACCTCAGTGTCTCAGCTAAGGTTCTCCCTCTGTGTACTTCTTTCCTAGAGAAGTACACAAAAGTTTTCTTTGTTGTATATGATTTTTAAATTTGAACTAATTTCAGATTTATAGAAAATTACAAAAATAGTACATTCTTAGATCTGCTTCATC